TGGGTAAACCACTAACCTCTTTGGGCCTTCTTGTTTGGATCAGCAAGGTGAGTGTTGGGCGAGATGGAATGATTGAAGTTCCTTTCACTATTAGAGTTCTGTGATTCTGTATCCTGTAACATGGTAGCAGAAACTTTTGTTACCTTAAAAAAAAATTTATGAGAATTAAAAATATTTAAAAAATTAGATTGAAAGGTATAAAGAACCTGCAGACCCATCAATCAACCCCAACAATCATCATTCCGTGGCCAACCGTGCCCCTTCCACATCTCCATCCACTGACACCTCTCCTGTGTTATTGTAAGGCTAATTCCAGACATCAGCCTCTCTTTATCAACGTAATCCCTCTGCCATCTGTACTGTTAGCCCTGAGGTCTTAGATATTGTATTTTGTTTTTAACGAATCTCAAATTGTCTAGCTATTTTTTCCTTTTCATTTTTTAATTGAAATTTTAAGATAAATACAGATTCACAGGCAGTAATAAGAAATAATCAGAAAGATCCCACGTACCCGTAACCCAGTTTACCCCAGTGGTAACATCTTGCAAAATTATAGTGTAATATCACAACCAGGGTATCGGCATCGATACAATCCACTGATCTTATTCAGATTTCCCCATTTTATTTATACTGATCTATATGTGTGTGTGTGTGTGTGTGTGTGTGTGTGTTTGGCTGTATACAACTTTATCACATGTGTAGGTTCATGTATCTACCACTGTAGTCAAGATATAGAACAATTCCATCATCACAAGGACTCTTCATCTTATTTTGTAACCATACCCACCTCCTTCTGCCCATCCCCTCAACACTAATCTGTTCTCTGTTCTTCATTTCTAAAATTTTGTCATTTTAAAATGTTATATAAATGGAATCATACAGTCTGTAACCTTTTCAGATTGGCTTTTATCACTCCATAATTACCGGGAGATTCACTCAGGTGATTGTGTGTATCAACGATTTGCTCTTTTCATTGCCGAGCAGTGTGGGATGATGTACCACAATTTGTTTAACCATGACCTGCTGAGGGACATCTGAACTGTCTCAAGTTTTTGGCTATTCTGAATAAAACTACTATGAACATTTGTGTACAGGTTTTTCATTTCTCTGGGATAAATGCCCAAGAGTGTAATTGGTGGACTGTATGGTAATTACATGTTTAGTTTTATAAGAAACTGCCATATGGTTTTCCAGAGCGGCTGTACCCTTTTATACTCCAAGCAGCAATGTATGAATGATCTAGTTTCTTTGCATCTTCACGAACATTTGAAGATGTCACTGTTTGTTATTTTAGCTATTCTGATAGATGTGTAGTGATATCTCATTGTAGTTTTAATTTGCATTTCCCTGATGGCTAATGATATCAAATTATTTTTTATATGCCTGTTTGCCATTTGTATATCATCTTTGGTGATCTTTTGCATTTTTACTCCTCCATTTACTTCTTTTCAGAATTTAGGGTCAGGGTAGGCTTGCTGGTAAATCACCTATGATGTTTGTTATAATATACTTAAATGGGAGGAACCAGATCTGCAACTGCTGCAGAAAATATTGCTTACCAGTGTTCTCAGCTCTGTGTTAGAGTCTCTGGGAACACAAAGATGAATAAGCCAAGAACCTTGGTCTTTAAGTTCTGAAACCATCTGGCACTTCGGGAGAGGGAAGCAGAAAGTATGTAGAAGTCCGAGATTTCCAAATTGCATGACTTCACAGGATGATATTTGCATGGGCATCCTGAAGGTGACCACGAATGACGGAAAGATCCTAGCGGAAACAGGCCAAGAATTCAGTTCATTTAATGTGAGTTAAGGATGCAAAAATGTCTTTGCCTGTAGGCGGCCGCTCAGAGCAAGGGGCTGGGTTGACATAGCAGCACTCGCAATTAGAGGACAGGCACTCCAGCCTTCAAATCCTACCGAGGCACTCAGCTGCCAGTGAGAACAGTGACTGGAGGACTTCTGACAGCCCTTGAAGAAGCTTTTTCTGTGCCCTCTCTCTCTTCTGTGGGCCTCCAAACTGTTCCAGAGAGCCTGAATCTATGTCTAATTGATCACCAGTTGCAAGAACCTGGTGTCAACCCCAGCACATACCTGAGTGCTTAATTTGAGTTTGGGTGAAGGACAGTCTTTCCAGGAATTTTATCCTCCCTAGCAGGGCTGAGTCTCAGGCAGACTACTTCTGAAGTTTTGTGCAGAAATTAATGACCGAATTCAATATTTATTTACAAACTGGACAGTGATGGTCTAAGAAGAGAAATAGCTTAATAGAGAAGAATAGGGAATAAATACACACATACACACAAATCTAATTTATGGTAAAAGTGGCATTAAAAATCAATGGGAAAATGATGGTCTATTAGAAATCGTTTGGGAAATATTCTTACCTCACACCATACACAAAAACAAAATTCAGATGGATTAATGATCTAAATGTCAATTTAAAAACATGTATGTATGTGAGAGAGACAGAGTATGTGTGTGTAGAATAGAGGAGTTTAACATTTTTATATTTTTTAAGGATGAGGTGGGACATAGCAGGAGTCCTTCTAATGAAGATAGATAACTCAGAAGCTGCAAACAGAAAATGTATAGCTTTGACTACATGAAAGTAAAAAAAAAAATTATGATAATATGTACAAGAAACAAAGTTAAAAAAAACTGAGTGAAAGTGTTTTATACATACACACATACATACCACACATATACTTGCACACCTTTGTTTTTCTATGGTGCAGAGATGTATATATTTCTAGTAATAAGTTATTATTTCTAATATACAAAGAGTTTGTATAATTCAATAAGAAAAAATGGAAATTAAATATCAGAAAAATAGGAAAGGAATAAGAACAGGCACATCACAGAAGAATATAAATTACCAATAAATATATGAGTAGATGTTTACTTTCACTAGTAATCAAGGAACTAGAAACTAAAACAAAATACTGCCATTTAAAAATTCATCAAATAGGCAAAAATTAAAAACAAATAGTATTCAGTATTTATGGGAATTGGGAAAGGGCATTCTTTTACGTTTTTGCTGGTAATATAAATTGATACAGCCTTTTTCTGAGGACAAATTGGCAGAATCTAATGAAATTTGAAATGTACGTACTCCCTCATACATTAATGTCACCTTTAGGAATCTGCACCATAGAAAAACAGAGGTGTATAAAAATATATGTGCTAAGATATTCATGGCAGCATTAGTTGTAGCAGAAAATTATAATTAACCTACAATATCTAGCAATATGGAAATGTTTAAAAAAACACACACAAAACTATGGCATAGTCATATATTGGAATGTAGTGAAGTCATTAAAAGAAGGAGCAAAATCTGCAGCACTGACATGGCAGCACGTGCTAGTATGTTCATGAGTGAATAAATCAAATCAAGGAACATATGTATATATAGCATGACTTAATTGGGGATGCAGAGGTGGGAGGGTAGGTGGATGTATGTGTATAAACGTGTTTGCAGACCAAAAAATAAAAACGACTGGAAAAATACACAATGACCTTTTGAAAATGGTTACAAATCTGAGGTACTGAAGTGCTGGGATGAGGGGAATTTCAATTTTTTTTTTTTTTTAATGTACTTGTGCAGTGTTTGCAGTTATTTTTAATCACAATGATTTAATAACGTTACGAAAGAAAAGAAATTAAAAATGCTAAAGAACCCAATCTTTGACCAAAAAGAAAGAATTTTGGTTAGAAGAATTGCTTTAAAAGAAGACGTATTTATCTTTGCCTAATGAAAATTTAAATAAAAAAATAGACAAAACTCTTCCTTGCTATTGTATTAATTTTCTCTATCTGGAATATTTATTTTAGTGAGTTCTTTGGTTATTTAATTCATTGCATTTAATTGATAGTGTTTACTGGAGTTTAGTGAAAAGCTATTTTGTAAATATCTTCAATTGTGATTTACCTAGTGTAATATCTCCCCCAGTGAATTGACTGTGAGTGGGGAATTAGTAAAGCAGATAACATCTGGAGAGTAGTATGTGGCTTTACTTATCTCTACAGGAAACCTTATTTCATATTGGTAAAGTTTGAAATCTTTCCTGTAGCTCTTCCCGATTGTTCATTGTTGTTACCGTTTTAATGAGAGGGAGAAATGAGCCAAACCAACCTGCTTCTTTCCTTCTACTAAATTAATGTCAAAGGAAATTCTTCAGCCCAAATAAATAAGTGAATGTGGATGGAATCAGATTCTGACTCAACATATTCCAATTAATTGCTTCCAAACGTTAAGATACATTCTTAAGAAACCCCACACATATTAAAAAATCAACCAGTGGAGAATGATTAGGTGAGAAGTGAACTAGCTTAGAACCATCTTTGTTTAAAAAACCTCATTTAAGTTGACATTAATATTTACCATCTACTCTATTATAAATCAAGATTTATTGTAGAAATGTATCAAAGATAACACAATAATAAAGAAAACAGATTCATCTCAGGTTTTGAAATGTACCTAACAAATTCAGCCTCTTGCAAAATAGCTTTCTTATTCAAAATGGAACTGGGAATTGTTCAGCACACAGTGAATCACCTTTTGGCAAGTACAATAGAATCTTTAGGGACATTTCGCAGTATCTTGTTCAATTGTTAGGATGTTTTTAGCTTTCACAGGTAAGGAAGAAGGTAGCTTGTATAGTCATCATCTTGTTGCTAAAATTGTACAGTAAAGATTTTTCAGAGTCGCTGTTGCAATAGATCTTTTTACTTTTTTTTTTTTTTCTTCCTGTTTCTTTACCCAGAGCTGCTTTGTCTCTCAAAAACAATCTGGAATTACTTAATGCTGTTTTCTGGTTTTACTATTTACCCAGGACTCAAATGTTAAACATTAATGTGGGAAACTCCCTTTTCCTTACCTCATAGTCCTATATTTATTTAACTGTTATTTTGCAAGAAGAAAACCTCGTCTTTCTCTCTCTGTGTTAAAGGACTTCTTTTTATTGACAGACACATTTAGTTTTTGTATTTGCTTTTTTTCAGGAGGCTTTAGAGCCACCCCTGGATGATTTTGAGGTGACGGAGACCACCACGGCAACCAAAGTGATTAAATATGAGTATCATGTCTTATATTCCTGCAGCTACCAAGTGCCTGTGCTTTACTTTAGGGCAAGCTTTTTAGGTAAGACCATGTTGGAAGCTAAATGTAAATTCATAGCATTTACATAGAAGGCAGAAAGCAGATTTGGAAAATTATTCTTGAGAGAAAAAAATAGAGTTAAAAATAAGAAAACTGTGGGTGAGGTAAGGTTTTACCAGTAAATTTTCTCATGCTTTAGAAAGAGTATCAAGACTTCAGAGTGAATGATATCATCCCAGCCTTAAGTCTGATCTTCAGATCCTTGGCCTCCTGCCCAGCGTTGACTAAGCCCCCTGGCCCTTTTTCTTTTCTTTACTTTAAACAAGGAGGAACAACTTAAAGCTACAATGTTTATTTACTTCTAACTTTACAGTAAAAATTTCTTTCAATCTCAAGTGATCCCATTAACTCAAAAGTCCCCATGTCTCCTTCCCCAAGCACAAATTATTATTTCAGGAACTGTTTATCAATCCATTTAAGCTATATTTAAAAATAGCACTAACATTTCCTTCGGCCATCTATACATCTCCAATACCTCAGCTTCCTGCGATGCTGTTACTCAACTCATCCCCCTTGCCAAGAAGGTGGAACACCCTGTCTCCTCTGAGGCCTTGGCTAATAAAGCTTATTTAATGAGCAGCCGCGTGGAGCCCTCACCCTGCAGCGCAGCCGGGACTCCCCCCCTTCATGTCCTGTGACTTAACCGGGTCAACATCTTGAGGCCCCTCCACCCTGGGCTCAGAGACAACCCCAGCCCACCCCTACCCTATCTCTCCTTTTCTGTCTGGACTTATCAGCAGCATTTTGCATTTTGAACAGGCTCCTAACCTTTTCTGGATAGCTAAGACATCTGAATTTAGCCAGTGATATTTTATTTTTAATTAAAAAGTAGCTTAAGCTGCTTTGAATGTGTATTTGGTAGATTTAATCACTTGCTGCCTTATATTGTTTAATGGTCTCTAATTTTGCAGTGTTGGCGGTTTAACAAGCACTTAGGATTTAAAACACAAGAACAAATTCTCATAGACTCCCTGGTGAGAAGATTTTACTCTACGGTGCAGCTCCTAAGAACTGACAATTTGGGGTAAATTTTCAACATGGAACATGGGGAGTTGAGGACACTGATAGTTCACCAATTCACAAACTCTTGCTGCAGATTTATCCGTATGATTATTACAGGCCTTTAAAACACTCACTTTATTGTAATTCTGTTGGGTTTGGAGCCCAGAGGTTAAAGGAAGTTTCTTGTCAGTGAGCTGTGTTATACTAAAAAGTAGAAAGGGATACGTTTATTTACCAGAGGGAAGAAAAATGTCCTTCTAGGTTTTGGTTTGCAAGGGCTCTACCCAGTACCTTCTGGATTCAAAGCCCTGTCAAGGCTGCAGGTAGAGGAAATAGGACACTACTTCTTCAATACTGTACTTTCATATAATTAGTATTCACCATAAGCAGTTAATCACCAGAGAAGAGCTCCCAGAGACAAAACAAGTTGTTTAGCTTGTCAGCATTAGGGAATCGGAGGTGCTGAAACATGACTGCTTCTAGCTGGAAGTGGGTCTTGCCGAGGCCGGCGGATGAGCTCATACGTGTACTTTGCTCTTATGTGCCAACAGCTCCCCTTACAGTACAGCACAGTAATTGTTCCTGCAAATCCAATTATATTTTAATGAAATTTGTATACTTCCTAAGATCTTTTCTTCATGATGATTTTCTATTTCTTAAAAAAAAAAACAAAAAAAAACCCTAGCCTTTTTGGATCCTATTTATATATTTTTAAGATGCTCTTCATTTATGTTTTTATAAAGGAAATCAAAATGAGTCATTTATTTTGTGTGGAAGCATTTCTTGTTCTCCACCCTCCCTACTCTGTGTTCTATAGAATGAGCATTAGGAACTTTTTGATTCCGGAATTCACTTAGTGGTTTTTCAGGTACATTAAAACACCACATTTAATTTTTTTAAAGCATACTGAATGTTTTCCTGTGACGAAACATGAAAAATAGTTCTTTCCTTTATCATAGTCTAATAATTTCTTTTCTCTTTTCTACCTAACTTAACCTAATGAGTATTCTAAAAATGTATCGGCCTTTACTCTGGTGTCAGAATTTTTCCTTTTTTCCCCTCAGTCCATTCCCTCTTTATTTGTTACGTGATTACTCTGGCCCTTCATCTCTTAAACAAATCTCTGTCAGTGTGGTGAATGGATTCCTAACATCTTCCTCTTATTCCAGGTCCAGATTTTTCTTTGTCTCATTCTAAGAGAGTTCCGACCTAGAAAAAGGATGGCTATAAAATTTCTTGCTCAGGGGTCTTTTTTTGTTGCTTCAAAAATAGTTCACTTAGCCTTGTTTTTGACAGATATTTAAGATTTTTTTTTTTTGCATTTGACTCAGTAAAAACTAGTTTCTCTGCTTTGCTCTAAATTTTATTTCAGTACCTCTTTTTTTAGGTAAAGAAAGTGGTAAGTAATTCCCATTTAAATTGACATTACCTTTTCTTTTATCGACTGGCTTAGATGCCAGAGGAAATCTTTATTCTGTTTCTTGAAATGCATATCATTGGACTGTGATTACCTCTTATTCCTTGATATGTCCAGTGTCCACCAGGCCAACTACTGCCTAAGACTCAGCTTACATGCCACTTACTGTTGTCACCCGCATGTCATATCATATCACATTATATTATATATCATGTTGCACAATATCAGAAAAATATTTGTTTACTTGTCCCCTATAAAATGGTAAGCTAGAAGATAGGGGTTTAAGGTAAAAAGAGGGAGGAAGGAAATTAATAGTGAGTACTTACAATCTACAAAGTTATAAACTTTATTCATAGCTCTGTGTGTGTGTGTGTGTGTAATACATATATGACATATGTATTCTTTGTCTTACTCATTTTTATACCCACAGTATCAACAAGTATTTACTGAATGAAACAGTGAGCAGGAATTTCTAACCATTTTTGCATATAGCCCAAAGATGGAAATATAGCCATCTTTGCATATAGCCCTTGTGATGGTGCCTTATTTGAACTTTTCTGATGAGTTATATGGAAGGGAGTAATGCTGTTGTCTCCAGGAAACTCAGAACCTAAACCGTCTATATATCTTTACTCTTTAGTCTGGTGCTTCCCAGAGACAGCAGGAATGCTTGACTAAGGAAAATAGAAAGTCCTGAGGACTCAAAGGTGAGCATCTAAGCTAGGTGGGCAGCCCTTCCACTTCTATAAACACATATTTTTGTTTGATCCTTGAAGGCAGACAGCTAAGGTGAGACAGCATTCTGTTTCTGGGCATACGCAGAAACATTTCTACTACTTGGCCATACGGGAACTCCGCTCCCTAGGGTTTAATATGAATTTAAGAGAAGAAATAAGTCCTTCCCAGCACTCTTTTTTCCCTAACCACTCTTGCCATTTTAGGTTTAGGAGAGGTGGTGGGGCACGCTTAATACCATTTGCTACCCAGCAGTGGGTGAGAGGTAACTGCACTTCTCTCAAGTACTAATAAATAGCCTACATTCAGACAGTGCTTTGTAGTCTATGAAGTCCATTCTCACAAAGCACTCTTGTCTTCAAGGGCCCACCTTTTTTTCTCCCCCACTATTTTTTTTTAAAATAAATTTATTTATTTATTTATTTTTGGCTGCGTTGGGTCTTCGTTGCTACACGTGGCCTTTTTTTTAGTTGTGTAGAGTGGGGGCTACTCTTCGTTGCGGTGCTCGGGCTTCTCATTGCGGTGGCTTCTCTTGTTGCTGAGCACAGGCTCTAGGTGCGCGGGCTCAGTAGTTGTGGCGAACGGGCTTAGTTGCTCCGCAGCATGTGGGATCTTCCCAGACCAGGGCTCAAACCCGTGTGCCCTGCATTGGCAGGCGGATTCTTAACTACTGCGCCACCAGGGAAGCCCTCCCCCAACTATTTTTGAAGCGCACCGCGTTAAAGAATTATTTGTAGTGTGCGAAAGGCTTCTAACTGCTGCTCATCATTCCAGCACCTTTTTATGTCCCAGTGTTCCCTTTTGAGGGCTTGACTTGGTCAAAAGCTGATGGTAAGTGTTAGAAATGTGGTGTAAACCTTAGAAATATACATAATGGCTTTGGGCTTCACCAGACTCCTAAGCTTACCTAGTTTTACCTTTCATTACAACTAGAGATTTCTGTATTTATTTCAGCTTGAATTCTGATTAATTTCTTCCCTGTCTCTCTTCCTTTCCTTTGCGATCTCTATTGAAAAATAGGCCAAGTGGTTCTTCTCATTTTCAAAATATTTAATTCTTTGGTGCTGACATATGGGTTCTTCTTGGGAACCGTTCTGACATATTTCTTTAATTAGTTAGAAGGGCTGCTTTTGAATAGGGAAGGAAACAACATTTCTTCCATTCAGCAACTGAATGTCTGTTCTTTCTGGAGATCCATTCTATTATTGGCCCAGGGAGTAAGAGTATAGAATTAAAAATGTAACCCAGATATTTCACGTAGAAGATTTATCCACTTGTTGTATGCTTGAATGATGCTCATGGAGAAACAGGGCAAGAGAAATAGGCAGAGAATAATTCCTTCTTAAAGGCAGCATGACCAAACCAAGATAAAGCCCAGCTCAAAGGAAGAATAACGAAAAGGTTGGAATTAGAATAGTATATACATCATCAGGGAGGAGGAGGAAGAGGCTTGTCCCTGGTGTGGAACCGGAGGGAGTCTTTGGACCGTATAGAAGAAAATGACAGGAAAACAGGAAAGACAGGGGTTGGAGGAAGTTGGAGAATAAAAGTAAAATATTCATAGCTCTGCCCATCAATTTTCAAGGGAACATAACAGGTTGGCTTTTCTGAAGAGGCTGGGAAAAGCACTGGATAAGGGGAGACAGGTGAGTGCCAAGCTGTAGGGCTGGAAAGCATGGCGTATTTGGGGAACAATGAGAGGCTGGTTTGAGGAAAACCTCTATTCCAAATTGTAGAAGAAGTGGTTGGAAAGATATGTTGAGGTAAAATTATGGAAGAGATAATGGATGGGATGGGGTTGGAGGGTATAATGAAAGGGTGAAAGAGG